TCAAGAACTGGCAAAGGAGAGGATGCACACAGAGGAGGCAGTACTGGCAAATCATGGGGCACACAGGAGGTGCTCAGTAAATGCTTGTTGTCTTCCCCAAGAGAGGGCCTAGAGAACGCAGGGAAGGGAGAAGCTGGTAGAGGGAGAGGGACAGGGAGATAAAGGCAAGAGGAGATGAGAGGAGACATTAATTGCCTGATATACAGTAGGTGGCCCATCGTTGCTTGTTCTCTTCCCCCAGAAAGAGCAGATGGGGCAGAAATGAAGAAACGGAGAATTGAGGGGGGAGGGGGCATAAGGAGATTGTCTGGCATACTATAGGTGCTCAATAAGTGCCAATTTCCTTCCCTGGCAAAGAGCAGAAAGCAGCAGAGGGTAGCAGAGACCACAGGTCAGTGAAATGGGAGGTTGAGAGGAGAGTAGAGAAGGCACAGGCAATTGGTTGTCCTACCACAGGTCCTCAGTAAATGTCTGTTTTTGCCTTGGAAGAGAGCAGAGAGCCCAGAAAGACGAGGGGACAGAGGAGAGAAGAGGAAGGAAGAAGGTATGAGGAAGGCAGAAAAGATGTGTAAACTACCCAGCACACAGTAGGTACTCAATATGTGTTCATTCCCTCCCTGCCCCCCCCCCACCCTGGAGGGAGCAGAAAGTCAGAAAGGAGAGGAAATCAGGAGAGAGAGAAGAAAGGAATTGAGGGAGAAAAAAGTGTGGAAGGAGAGGAGACAGTGTAAATTTCCGAGCACACAGTAGGTGCTGCACCAGTGTGCATTCTCTTCCCAGGAGACCAGGCAGATCAGGAAGAAGTGCAGGGCATCTGGGTGGAAGGGACAGGAGAGCAAAAAGAGTAGAAGGTGCAGAGGCCGTGCAGAAATTGCCTGGTAAACATTAGGAACTTTAAAAATGCCCCTTTCCTCCAAGAATGGGAGCCAGAAGCTTAGGAAGAACAGCAGAGAGCGGAGAGGAAGGGGTGCCAGAGGAGGCAGGGAGGCATTTCAGGTGCATACAGCAGGTGCTGCATAAATGCTTGTCTCCTTCCCTGGCAAAGCAGAAAGCAGGCTGGGAGCTCAGGAGGAGGATGAGGGAGAAGGAGGAGTCTGAGGGTAGAGGCCAAAGGCAGGCCTCCTGGTGGCTTTCCCTCCCCTGGGGCCCAGCCCACCCTCCAGCTGCCCGACTGGGACAAGGGCGCATTGTCCCCAGCCTGGCTAGGCCTGGGGACAGGGAAGGGGCTGCTGTGTCTGGGGGGTGGGGCGCTGCCTGGTCTCTGAGTCACTCTGTGTCTCTGCATCTCCCCATCTCACTGTGTGCGTCTCTCTGCATCTCTTTGTCCTGCCATCCCACCGTCCCACTGTCCCACTGTCTCCCCTCTCTAAGTCCGTGGCCCCCTATTTTGGTCTCTGTTTCACTGTTTCTGAGTCCCCCCTGCCCATCTGTCTTTCTGTCTCTCCCCAGTTGCTCAGTCTGTCGTTCAGGCTCTGTTTTTGGGAGGGAGGAGCAGGCTGGACCCAGAGGGGTCAGAGGCGAGGAGTGAGCAAGGAAAGGAGGAGACAGGGGAGCGAGAGAGTGAGGACAGAACCGCTTTATTGAGCAGAAACCGCAGCAGAGGGCCTGGTGGCCTCCCTCAGGAGCTTGGGGGCAGGGGTGGGGGGTTGCCAGGGGCAACAACAGGGACTCGAGACAGAGGGACTGAGAGACACAGAAAGAGAAAGGGAGAGAAACTGAGGCTAGGAGAAGCAGGGGGAGGGATGGAGAGATGGGAGGAGGGAGAGATGTGGGTGGGAGGAAGAGTCAGAGATGGAGAGAGAGAAGGAGGGGAGACAAAAAGAGACAAAGGAAGACCAGGGAGCAGGAGAGACGAGGGAGGGCAGGCGGGGATCTAGAAATGGGAGAGGAGGGAGGAGAGTGGGAGGGACAGAAATGGGAAGAAACAGGACCAATGGAGAGAGACAAAGGGGAGGGGATGAAGCAAAACAGACGGACAGACGGAGATGCGGAGAGAAGGGGGCAGGCAAGAGACAGGGACAGAGAGAGAGAGAGAGAGAGAGAGAGAGAGAGAGGGCCCAGCTGCTGGGCGGACAGCGGAGAAGTCGAGGAAGGAGCGCGGTCCCTCTCACCTGACATCGGCGGCGGCCGCCCCCCAGGCCCAACTGGGCAATTTAAGGGGCACCCTGGGGGCGGGACCACCTTCCCTCACTGCCTTATCTGGTCAGCCCTGGGCTCCGAGAGCTAAATCGGGCCTCAGCTGTCAGCACCCGGGTGCGCGGGACAGCTGTCACCCTGCCCTGCACCTGCCACCTGCCACATGACTGCGGCCGCCCCAGCGGGGAGCCCGGCGCCTGGCGAAGGGGCAGGGGGCGCTCTGCATGGTGAGGGGCCAATGGTGAGTGCTCCCTCAGCCCGCAGGCCCCGCGGCCTTGGAGAGCAGGAGGGGTTAGTGCCCCAGGGGGGCTGAGAGCAGCAGGGGAGGGAGGGACCGACCCCGCCGCCCCCAGGTCCCACCCTGCGCTGCGGCTACTCGGCTCCTCGCTCGGACCATATTAGGCCACGGCTGAGAAGGCACCTGGGGAGGTCACTCAGTCCCAAGAATAGAAACACTCAGGGAGTCCCGCCAGGCTGTCTGGGACCGCAGGGGACCGGCGACAGGCACGGAGGGCAGGAGGGGGCCCCAGAGGACCCAGGGAGACAGAAGCTGAGAAAGACACGGAAACATCCAAAAAGGGAGACAAAGAGAGGGACACAAAGCAAGGGACAGAGGAGTCCGAGACCCAGGTGTGGGAGAGGGAGCAAGCTGGAGAGGCACAGAGGGGGCAGGCCGGGTGTGGGGACCGTCCCCAAAGTTGGGGTGCCCCGGGACCCCAGCAGTTTCTAATGTGCTGTTTGACTTTTTACTTTACAAGTTGCCCTTTGACCTCCAGAAGTCTTGGGAACCCGAACCTGCCAAGCCCCAGTCCCAGCAGCACCCACGGGCCTTACAAGCCTCCAGCTGTGCCTGCACCCCATCTTCTGAGGGCCCTACCTGCCTCTCCCTGCCTGTGCCCTCCCTGTCTCTGGGTCCCCCATTTCTGCCCATTCCTAAAAGGGGACCCTGCTCTTGCCCAAGCCCCACTCTACCTGATTCCCTCCCTGGGCTCACACACACTCATGCCTCCTGGAACAGGCCAGAGACCCCCAAAGCCATCTCCAGAGCCCCTGACCCGGCTTCCCCTCCCCACCACCATTTGTCACATCCCTTACATCCCACTGTGCGGCATGTCCACCAATCCCCAAACCACTCTTCATCTGTTGGGGGTGGCCGCATTGTCCCAGGGTCCTAGGGCCAGATGCCTGGGCACCTTCTTCATTCCTTCTCACGTTTGTCCCCAGAGCCGAGCTGCTGGACTGTGTCCCTCCTCTCCCTCCCCAGGGTCCCGGCTCAGGCCTCCATCCTCTCCCCTCTGGATCCTCAGCCTCCTTCCAGGCCTCCCAGGCTGTCCCCACCACCCACCCCACGAGGGCACTTTTGGAGCCCAGGACTGACCTGCTGCGCCCCTCGCGGCCCCCACCCGCTGTCCTGGACAAGGTCCAGCTCTCAGTGTCCCTGTGGAGGCCCTGTGGCCTGGGCCTGGTGGGGACCCACTCTCATCCGTCAGTCCCTGGTCAGTGACAAGTAGCGACGGCTCCCCTTGTATTGCGGGGCTCCTGCAGAGTTGTCTCCCAGTCTGAAACAGAGCCCCCTTCCTCCCACTGGCCCTTTGCAGAGGGCCAGGTCCTCCCCCCAGGTCCCCTCAACTTCCTCTGGCCCCCTGGGGGTCCCTCTTAAAGCCTCCCACCCTGAACTAGGACTGGGGAGGGGGCTCCTGTCCCCTAGTGTCTGCCTCCCAGCCTGAGAGTGAGCTCCTGGCTTCATCAGCAGAGGTGCCCCCCGAGGTGCTGCCCCCACCAGACTGGGAGTGGGGGTTGGGGGGTGGGGGAGGAGTGTCAATGCCAACAGGACAGGGAAGCTACAGCAAGGGACCCCAGCCCCTGGGGAAGGACACAGAACAGGAGGGGGTCCTGCTCCAGTGAGAATGTGGAAAGAAGACACCTGGTGGGAGCCTGTACTCCTCCTGCTCAAATCTCTGAGGGCCCCCATTGTCCCCCTTTGTCACCTCAAACCGCCCCCCCCAGCCTGGCTCCGGCCACACCAGCCTTCCCAGGGCCTTTGCGCTGGCTGCTCCCTCAGCCCTGAACGCCTTTCCTCTGCACCCCCCACAGCTCCCTCCTTCCCCTTCTTCCAGTTGGGCTCCAAGGGCTCCGCTACCCTAAATGAATCCCCCCATGCTGTACCGGCTCCTAAGGCTGTTTCTTCTCTCACACTTGCGGAGACCGGAAGTCTAATGTGCCTCACTGGGCTGGAGTCAGGGTGTGGACAGGGCTGGTTCCTCCTGGGGCCCCGGTCTGGGCTGCCTCCACTTCCCCGCTCTGGCCCCTTCTCATCTCCAAAGCTGTCCACCACGTAGCATCTCTGACATGCTTCCTTCGCCAGGTCTCTTTTGGCCTCTCCTCTCCTGCTTCCTCCGCCGTCAGGACCGCAGGCCCGCCCGGATAACGCGGGGTCGCTTTCCTGTCTTAAGGTCAGTAGGTTAGCAACCTTTGTTCCCCTCTGCCGGAAGCCGAACACGGGGATAGCGGCGTGGCCCCCCTTGGAGCCACTGATGGAGAAGAACTGAGACTCCAGGAAGAAACTTGCTTTCTCTTCAGCACTTAGCCCACTGAACACTCTAGATTGTGCCTATCGGCTCCTGGTCTCTCCCCCCCCCCCCCCCCCCGCCCACAAGAGCAGGGATTTGTGCTGTTTCCGGCTGTGCCCCCGACGAGGAAACGGAGGCCCAGAAAGGTGGGTGACTCACCCAAGCTGGTGAAGCGGGAAGGTGGGGGAGAATTTGGGCTCCCGGGCTCCCCACAATGCCCGCCTGGCTACCAGCCTCTCTGCTCCGCGGGAGTCCCGGAGGGAAAGGGTCCCCCCAGGCAGATGCAGGCCAGGCTGGGAGCAAACGAGCAGATTTATTGAGGCAGCAGCGGCATTGAGCAGGGGTATGGGAAAGGGGTTGGGGCCTCCACGGGGTCCAGGAGGAGCGGGGCCTAGTCCTTCCCTGGCACTCAGGGGCCAGCCGTGGACGCACAGGGACCGCCTGGGCGGCCTGGTTCCCTCCTCTGCGGGGTCAGTCTGTCTGAAGCCAGCAACCCTTTTCCTCCACCTCCTTGGTCACGACCAGCAGCACCTCGCACAGGCCCTGAGCCAGCGCGGCCGCCAGGAAGGCCCTGGTCAGAGAAATGAGGAGACTGAGGCCCAGGAGCCTGGGTGTTGCCTCCTGGGGGGGGGGGCGTGGCCCTAGCGCCCTGCCCCAGCCCCAGAGTCACCTTGCCCTCACCTGACACCGTCCTCGTCCCCCAGGACCTCGGGCGCCCGCAGCTTGGAGTCCAGGTTGTAGTAGACGCCGTCCACCTGGCGGAGGGCCACCCAGTGCCGCCGACGCAGGGGCAGGGACAGCAGCCCCAGAGACATGGGTGATGGCAGGTTCAGGATCAGTCCCAGCACCTGGGGCAGGGCCAGCTGGGACAGAGGCCTGTGTGGGAGGAGTGCAGACCCTGCCGTCAGGGTCCTGGGCTCACTGGCTGGCCCAAGGGTACTGAGCTTGTGGGACCCCGGCTGACAAGGCAGCAGTGGCCCTCCGAGCCTGCCCAAGGACGCTCCTCCCTCAGCGTGACCTTTGTCTCTTTCCACTCACCCGATCACGCGTGCACCCAAACCTCCCAGCCATCTAGTGACCACCCCTGACCAACTACCCATCTGTCATCCACCCAAACATCATCCACCTACTGATGCAACTGACCAACCAGCCAGGCACCAACTCAGCAACTTACCCACCATCCTCCAGTCCTCAACCACTCTTTACCAATCCATCCATCTGTCCAACCATCTAACTACCCAACCACCTGTTCACTGTCCACTGTCTACCAATCATCCATCCTTTATTCATTCACCCAACCACTCACCCATCCCATCAGCCAACCACCACCTACTCAACACATCCAACTACCAATTTACCGTCCATTTCATCACCAGATGACCATCTGTCTCTCTGTCATTGCCCCTCGGCCCATCCTGTTGTCCATCCAGTCACCCACTCATCTTTCCACCATCTCCCAACCCATTGGTCTACCATCCACCCATCATTCAGCCATGCCTACCATCCACCCATCTACCCCTTCTTTCTCGCCTCCTGTCCACCCATCCCTCTTCTGCTTTGTCCCACATGGGTGCTGTCACGCTGTATCCACTGTCCCAGGCTTAGCACACATGACACGGTGCTTGGGGTCCCACCTCCTTCTGTCCCACCACACAGTGGCCAGGCCCAGCCCTTGCAGGGCGGCCATGATCACATTGACGTCATAGTTGCCGGTGCCCAGGAGGCTGCGATGGGGATTCAGCCGGGAGTCTGGAGCCAACCTGGTTGGGGGATAGTCAGAGCTTGAGTTGGGGGCCCCTGAAAAGGTTGCACCCTCCCCACAGAGCAGGAGAGGCCCAGGGTCCTTGAATCACCCAGTCTTTGGACTCTTTCCTTTGTTCAACCCAATGGCTTATCAGCCCCAAGCCTGATTCCTTCTGTCCCCACCTCTCTCTGCTCTGTCCTGGAGCCAAATTTCCCAGTCAGGCCTTGTCTTCCCCCCCACCCGGGACCCTCATCTGGCCTCCATTCTCCAATCTCAGGGGCTCTTTCCACACCCGACACTGAACCTGGCATTTCCCCTGCTCCCAGCCTTCCCTGGTTCCCTGTCACCCCAGGATAAAGTCTCAGCCCCTCAGCTGGCCTCCTAGCCTCAGTTCCACCCCAGCCACCTGTCCTGTGCTCCTGTCTCCCAGCCTCTCTCCTGCAGCTATCCCCCAGCTCCGGGGGCCCACCCTGCCACCACTTGTCTCTGGATCCTGCCTTCTCCAAACAGTGGCACCTTTGTTCTTTCTCTGGGCCCTTGGTGGGCAGGGGAGGGGGAGGGGTTGGAGAGGAAAAGTCTGTGTATTATTTTCCTGTGTAGCTGTCTGCCTGGCCTCCTTCAGGGGAGGGCTCCTACTGGACTCATCTCTGGGTCTCCAGCATAGCCTCGGTGTAAAAGAGTTGATGGACCGCTGCTGTGAATGCCAGAGGAGATGAATAAATTCTGTAATAATCAGTCTGAGGGGCTGGGACTCTGCTTGAGGATGCCAGGGGTCCACGAGAGGGCTGTAAGCAAGAGTGGGGAAGACACGGTCATCTCTGGGTGTAGCATCATGTGGGTGGCTACTGACAGGAGGAAGGATCCAGGAGATGATGGGCTTGGGCTAGGGCCGGGGCTGTGGGGATGGAGAGGAGGAGACAAGGGAGAGCAGGAATAAAGAAGTGATGTTTGAAATCTTGCATAGTGACGAGTAACATTCCAGGCTGCTGAGAGAAGGAAGCTGTTCCAGACAGGAAGAATAGCTCATGCAAAGGCCCAGAAGCATCACAGCAGCGCCCACTCGGGGACTGGGGCGGACTGTGGTTTGGCGGTGCAGTGAGACATGATGCTGAAGAGGAAGATGGGGACCAGAGCATGCAGGGCCTTGGATTTAGGCTGCAGGACCTGGGGCTTCTCCCAGGGCTGCTGGGGAGCCAGGGGAGGGCTGTGAGCAGTGGAGGGCAGGCTCAGCGCTGGGGCTGTGCAGAGCGTGGACTGGTGGAGAAAACCAAGAAGCTGAGAGGCTGGAGGGGATGTGGGGATGAAGGTCCAGATAAGGAAAGATGAAGCCTGAGTTGGGGCTGGGGCTGTGGCAAAGGGCAGGTGTGAGAGGCCGCATCTCCATCTCTTGGTCCCAGGGTTCCCCAGGCAGGTGATGAGGCAGCTCTGTCGCTGCCTCGCTGAGACCCAGTTGGTGGTTCTGCCCACGAGCCCCGCTTCTCCAGGGGTTAGGATGGGTGACGGTCACCTCTTGCAGATCTCATCGGCAGCCTCCTGGCTAAAGAGCTGCTGCTGCAGGACGTTGTTGAGGGCGTGGACGGCACACAGCTCCAGGCGTTGCCGTTCGTGATAAACAGAAGGCGCGTTCGGCTGTGCTCCTGGGGCCTGGGACATGCCGTGCTCGGCTCCTGCTTGGGGGCGACGGAAAAAGGTACTCGGCTTGGGATCTGGAAGCCCAACCTGCCAGCAGGCCCTGGGGGCACTGCCATTGAGGTGGGGGCTCAGGGCAGCCTAAGGGGACACTGGGTCACTGAGCCTGCTCCCCAGGCGCTCTCCTGGCTGTGGGGTACCTACATCCCCTACTGCTAGTGAAAAGGCTCTCCTCACCTAGCAACAGAGAACCCCCCCATCCCTAAGTGGTCCCTATGGTGGTCACCTAGCAACCCCCCCTCCTCTGTCTCTAGGTAACAGACTCCCTCTCTGGTTACCTAGCAACAGAGGACCCTCTCCCCAACTAGGTAACAAGCCTCTCTGGTTACTTAGCAATAGAGAAATCCTCCTCCCCTGTTTCTAGGTAACGGGGTCTCCTCTGGTCGCCTAGCAACAGAAGACTCCCCTCCCCTATCACAAACAACAGGGTTCTCAGCTCCTGTAACTCAGCAACAGGGCCTCCTCCCCGGACACCAAGGAACAGAGCCCTTTCTCCGACCCGTACCCCAACCGCGGCGCTCCCCCGTTGCCTGGCAACGCCCCTCACCCCGCCTGCCTCTCTGCTCCCCGAGACCAGGGGCTCCCGCATCCCCCTGGGCGGCGGCTGTGGGTTCCGAGTGCGGAGCGGGCAACACTGCGCTGACTGGCCAGGCCGGAAGCACACAGCTCCCGGCGGCCCCCGCGTGCCGGACTACGTCTTCCGGCAGCCCCCGCGAGGGCCCGCTGCTCCGTACGGAATTTCCGGGCGGCTTGGCTCGGAAGTCCACTGTCGCCCCGAGAACTCGGAACTGTAGTTCCGCCGCTGCGGTGAATCCCGGAAATATGCCCTATGGCGGCCCTCCCCCACGGCCCCTCTCCGCCTTCGCGCGCGGCCACGCCCCCTGGGGGAGGCCTGCTCAGAGGATTCTGGGAAATGTAGTGGGTAGGCTCTCGCGATAACTTCCGGGAGTGTTGCTCCCTCGTGTGCTGTGCTCTTCCTCTGCGGTGGCACCAAGCCGGGTGTGAAGTCGCAGCGTGACGTCACAGAAGGGAAGCAAGGGACGAGAGACACCAGACCATGCAGGGAGAAGAGCCTCCAGTATTTACTGAGACAGCAGGGAGGTCGGGGATAACCGAGGCTAGGGCGGTGGTGGGGGGACGTAAATGAGACGAAGGTGTCCGCTAGGGAAGGAGGCGGCTTCTCAGCAGAGATGGATCCCCGGCCTGGAGGGGAGCTGGCAGCAGCCTGCGGGGGAGATATAGGGAGTGAAACGCTGGGTCCGAGAGATGAGAGACAGACGCCTGATGGGAGGGACAGACCACGGTGGGGGTGGAGGAAGACAGAGAAGGACTGAGACCCAGAGGGGGACCGAGACACAGTGAGAGAGGTTATAAGCTCCCAGCGAGAGGAGAATACAGAAACTCAGGGAAAGGAGCCTTGGACAGAGATCTATCAAGATTCAGAAACGTGGAGTAGAAGCTGAAGGAGACACAGAAATAAAGATCAGTCAACTGAGACAGAAACAGAACTGCAGAGCCAGACAGAGCCCGAGACCCAAACTCCGCAGAGCATGGGGCCCAGGGCCTGGGGAGAGGGGCCGCACCCAGGAGGCTGCGCCAGAAGGTGGTAACAGTGGCAGAGCCGGTGACAGCGCTGGGCTCAGCAGGATTCTCTCTGTGGGCGTGCACAGCAAACCTTCGCCCTGTGGGGCCTGGGGGTCCACTCAGCTCCACGTCCACCACGTGCATGTCTGCGAGGCTGGGGCAAGCAGGGGGGTCCGTCTGGCTGGCCCGGCCCCAGCGCCAACCCCCGCAAGCGTTCGCTCACCTGAGATCTGCCACAAGCACCCCAACCACGCCATCAAAGCCCAGGCTGGGGGCAGCCAGTGCGGCAGCCGCCATGGTGTTGGAGTTGCGGGGGGCAAAGGGGCAGAGTCCGCGGACGGGGCCTTCATAGAGCACAGTGCGATGCCCAGTGCTGGGTACTGCAGCCAGCGGTCCCTCTAGCCGGAAGCCGTCGGGGTGCGTGGCCATGGTGACGCGAAGACTCTGGAAGTGACAGCCAGGGTGACAGGACCGGGGGTCTCTGTAGGCCCACTCTGGTTCGACTGGGAGCCCAGCGGGCCCTCACCTGGAGGCCCCCAGCTGCGTCCAATCTGGTGATGTCCTCAGTGCCCCACAGGGCCCCCCGGGCCACGAACACGGCGTGGTTCCAGCGGTGCGAGGCCTCCAGGAGCTGCTGCTCTGTGGCCTGGTCAGCCAGGGCTGAGGGGGATCCCACCTGGGGTGGATGAAGGTGGGGAGGGTCTGAGGTCAGGGGACGGACCCCACTGTAGGGCGGGGTGGAGCTGAGGCAGACTGGGCAGGGCTCACCAGGAGACTGGCACAGCGCAGGATTTGTGCTCCAGATTCCTGAATTATTTTTGGATGGGCCACTTCCACCACAAGGTCAGGGTGCCTGGGAGAGGGGAGAGATGGGGGAGGGCCTCGGAGAGGTATTGGACTTCCCCTCCTCCGATTCCCTCAGAGTCTCTAGAGGCCTGTCACTCTTCACCCTGGCCTAAGAGGGGAAGCAGGATGGCTTGTCCTGTTTCACATTTGGCCCAGAGAGGGTAAGAGACTTGCCAGAGGTCACAGCGCCTAAGGGAGGTCGGAAGAGGAGCTTCAGGGAGTCTAAGTCTTTCATGGTGAGATCACTGACCTCTCCCCAAGAGCAGCGAGGTTCTGGAGCTGCAGGGAAGGGGGCACACTCCCTGCCATTCGCCCTGGGTCACGATTCCAGACAAAAACAAGTTCTAGGCCCAGTTCTGGTCCCTGAGTCAGCAGGTGAGAAACAAGGGACTGTCCTGGGGAGAGGGATGTTCAGTGAGAGAGGGACAGGGACCACAGGGAGGGGGACAGGGACCCAGGGGGAAGGGATAGGGACCCAGAGGGAGGGGGACAGGGACCACAGGGAGGGGGAAAGACCTAGAGGGAGGAGGTTAGGGACCAGAGGGAGGGGGACAGAGACCCAGAGGGAGGGGACAGGCACCCAGGAGGAAGGTGGCAGGGACCCAGAGGGAGGGGGCGATGGGGCCAGTGGTGAGAAGTGGATGGTGCTCAGGCAGACACAGAAGCAGAGCCAGGTGCAGATGAAGACCTACATGAAGGTGTGTTTGTGGAGGGCAAAGGGCTTTGGGGGGTTCAGGACGGGGCCTGCAGAAGAGGCCCCAGAGGGTCAGTGACTCACCAAGGCGGCCGTAGCCCACCACTCCTACCCTCCTCGGGACCCGGTCGAGAGCCATGCCCTTGAATCTGGTGGTCTGCGTGAGGCCTGAGCTTGGTCAGCGGCTCGCTGCCCCCTCCCCTCGAGGACTGGGCAGTGGCTGATCTTTGGACATTTGACCCTTGATCCTCTCCAGAACCTTCCCCCTTCCCCACAGTGGCCCAGTGGAGAGGGTGTAGGTTTGCTGGGGTTGGGGGTTGGGGGTGAGGATCCTGGGGCAGTGGAGACAACGACTTGGGGTTCCAGGACCCCACGTGGCCCCCCACTACCCACTATACCCAGCCTCTTCCTTCTCTGTTTTCTACCCTCCTCCCTTCCTGCTGATGTGGAAAATTTCCTCTGCAGTCCCCAGCCCCCCTTTCTGGCCAGCCAAGTTGTCATGGAAACTGCATCCTGCTTGGGGTGGGGGTAGAGAGGGATGGGAGCCAGGGAGAAGGGAGGATGTTGGGGACTCTGGGCTCCCAGTCTGTCCCTTGCTCCGGAGTTTCCGGTCCCCGCCCTCGGGCCTGTAACCCACCCCCCAACCCCATGTCTCGGCACCCGTGTTTCTTGTCAACATTCCTCCTCCATCTTTTCCTTCTTTAGCTCTGTCCCCGACTCTCTCCCTCCATCCTGTCGCTGTCTCCGGGCCTCTCCCTGGACCTCCAGCCCTCCAACCCCGCCCTGCCTTCTCTGGGCTGGCTGCCATTCTGTCCCCAGCTGGGCCAGGCCTGCAGCTCCTCCCCACCCCAAGTTCCCAGGGAGGCCTGGCCTGGTGGTGCCCCGTCTCCTGCAGGCAGCAGGAGCTGGAGTCTGGCTCCCTGCAGCCCTGCAGCCCCGTCCCCAGCCCGGCTCCAACCTGGTCTCCTTAGTTGACCTTGACTTCTCACCTTTCATCCACTCCTCTCCCAGCCACCACACCGCCAGGCCCCCCAATACCACGCTCTTGCTCCCACCCGCGCCCCATCCCCCACCTCCCATTGTCCACGGAGAAGTCCGCGAGGCCTGCGGAGGCCCTGAGGCCCCCGCAAATGAGGCCTAGCCAAGGCGCCCCACAGGTGCCTGGCCTCGGAGATGGCGGAGGCTGGAAGCTGCCACGGCCGCGCGGCTCCCGGCCCCCAGCCACCACCTGGTACCCGCCGCGGTATTGCCATGGCAACCAGGATCGCGCTGAAAGAGGGCGGGAGAGAAAGAGCATGAAAGGGAGTGACAGGGCGCTGGGCTCCAAGAGTCCCAGGTCGACAGGCAGGAGCAGAGACCCCAGACGGCCATCACAGAGGTGGGCGCTGTCCGGCCCCTAAGGGAAGAAGGTGCTTTAGTAGGAGTCCCAAGTCGGGGAGACAGGAGATGTGGGCGCACGCAGCCACCAAAGGGGGCACATAGCACACAGGACCCGGGCCTGCCAAGTGTGGGGGCCCAGCTGGGCCGAGAGGAAGAAGAGGGCCCAGCCTTGTGTGTCCATGGGCCACGTCTGCCCCAAGTGGACCCTCTGCGGGCCTCGACAGCGTAAGACGGCAGCCCTGGCGGGGTTGCCTGGCCGACCCCTGGGGTTCGCTCCCACCCGCTGACGCCTGTTCCCTCCCAGGGCGGTGTGTGAGACCCTGAGCTTCTGAGTTACTGCACGGCCCCCTCCAGCTCCCGTCCCCCCATGGCTCTGTGTAAGCCAGAAGGCAGAGTAGCTCCCTGGGCCCGGCCTGCCTTCCCCCTTTTGGCCTGACTCTCTGGCTCCCGGCAGTGGCTTGGGGGTTTGCAGAGGGGATGGACACGTCTGCTTTGGCTCTGTTCTGAGTTGAACTGTTTCCCCTAAAAAGATATGCTGAAGTCCTGACCTCCAGGACCCGTGAATGACCTAATATGGAAACAGGGTCTTTGCAGATGATTGAATTAAGATGAGGCCCTGCTGGCGTAGGGTGGGCCCTAATTCCGTATGCCCCGTGTCCTTATAAAAAAGAGGAAATTTGGACAGAGAGATGGAGCGTGGGTGGAAGGAAGAGGATGGGGAAACTGGACGGTAGCTTAGCGGGAGGAGGCAGGGAAGGATCTTCCCCCACAGGCTCCAGAGGGAGCAGGGCCCTGCCCACACCTTGATTCTAGGAGCTGCCCGGCCCCAACCTTTGGACCACCCTACCCGCGCCCCCCCCACCCCGGCCCCCCGCATGAGTGAGGGTGGGGTGGGGACAAGGGCCTCAGAACATCGGGGGGGTGCTGGGTGCCTGAGCCCTGTCTGGGGCTCCTGGGGTCAAGGGTGAGGAGCCTAAGAGCCCCCAGAGGTGCTGACACCTGCGACCCTCTGGGCGGGCCTGTGACACTTGACTTTTCCATTCTCATTGCACCCCTGCCCGCATTCACTGTTTTCTCTGTCCTCCATGCTTTCATGACCCAAAAAGAAATTTTTTTTTTTTTTTACTTTTTCCGTGTTTTTTTTTTTTTTTTTTTAAAGTAATTACAGAGCAGGTAGTCGTTGACGCAAACCTCCCTTCAGTATCAAAAGAGTCTGTGGGCCAGGTGAGGGCTGGGGGTGAAGGGGGCAGGGCAGGGTGTCTGGAGGCTCTGACCGCGCGTCTGTCTCTTCAGTTTCGAGGGCGGAGGGGCGGGAGGGGGGACAGGCGTCAAACTGCAAAAAATGAACCGTAAAAGGAAGGTCGTTGGGGATGAGGGGAAAGGACACCCCCCGAAAAGCTCCGCTCTCCCCTGGAAGGCGGAGGGCCGGGATGGGTCGGTCGAGAGCTCGAGGAGGAAAAGCGGAGGGTTCCAGCCACTTCTCCGGAATCCCGCAGCCCCTCCCTTCGCTTGGGGTGGGGGGGTGCGGCCAGAACCGCGGGGGCCCGGTTCCTGGAGCCCCGCCCTGTCCTCGTGCGGGGGCTGAGCCGCCCTGGGGTCCGAACGCGGGCGGGGCTGCGACCCCTCCTTCCCCGACCTTCCCTGCAAGGTCCGGGCGCCAGCGCGGGGGGCTGGGGCTGCGGGGAGGGTCCTGGTATGGCCCGAGCCCCGGGCTGGTCTCCCCCACCGCCCCCCCCTCCGCCTGGCGGCTTCAGATCTGCGTCTCTTGCACGTTCTCCTTGGAGCCACTCTTGAAGAGCAGAGGTTCGTGGATGGAGTTGAGCCCTGGGGGGCCCTTGCCCCCGCAGCCCCCGCCGCTGGGGTTGCCGCTGTAGTGCGCCTTGAAGGCGGCCGCCACGTAGTGGTGGTGGTTGAGGTGGTCGCGCTCCAGGGCGGGCAGGGCCAGGTGGCTGTCCCCGCCGACGCCCCCCGCGCCGGCCACGGCGGCGGCGGCGGCCACGGACACGGCCGAGGCGGCAGGCAGCTCGTCCTCCACGTTGATGATCTCCACGGTGCGCGTGGGCCCGTGGTGCTTGTGGAGCTGGTGCTGCTTGCGCAGCTTGTAGAAGGCCACGAGCATCACGGCGGCCATGAACGTGATGGCCACGAAGCAGCCGATGATGATCTTGGTGGTCTTCATGACGTCGTCCAGGTCCTTGAGGGCGTTCTCCGTCACGTCCGTGATGGGCACCGTGAACGCCTTCTCCGTGGGCCGCGAGGAGCGCGGGGCGGGTGCCGTGGTGGACGACGAGGCGGGGCCGGCGGCGTCCCCGGGCCGGCCCCCGCCCCAGACACCGTCCGTCGTGGGCCCCGGGGGCTCCTTCTCCGTCCCCCGCGGCTGCAGGGTCTCCTCTCCCGGCTGCGTCTCCAGGGTCTCCACGGTCACGGTGGTGAAGTAGGTGTAGCCGCCGCTGCCGCCCCCGCCGCCGCCCGGGCCGCCCGGGCCGCCCCCGCCGCCAGCACCGCCGGCAGCCACCGGGTCCACGGCCGAGACGTTGAGCGTGGCGGAGGCGGTGGTGTTGCCGGCCGAGTTCGTCACCATGCACGTGTACTGGCCCGTGTCCTGCACCGTGACGTTGGTGAAGTTGAGCGTGCCGTCGTGCAGGACGGAGATGCGCACGCGGTAGGAGCCGTGGGTCATGAGGGTGCCGTTGGGCGTCAGCCAGTTGACGGAGGTCATGGAGGTGCCCGTGCGGCACTTGAGCTCGGCCGCCATGCCCTCGGTGACGTTCAGGTCCGTGGGCGGCTCCACGATGACCGGCGCGTAGCAGGTGAAGTGCGACTGGTCCAGCTCGCCGATATAGCGGCCCTTGAGGCCGGCGGGCGCGTGGCAGCGGGCGCAGCACGTCGTGTTGCTGGGCACCGTCTCCTTGAGCCACCAGCTCAGCCAGAGCACGTCGCAGTTGCAGTGCCAGGGGTTATGGTTGAGGTGGACGCGCTCCAGGCGGTGCAGGGGCGTGAAGAGGTCGTGGGGCAGCGACATCAGGTTGTTGTGGGACAGGTTGAGCTCCTCCAGCGACTTGAGGTCGTCGAAGGCGTTGCGCTCGATGGTGGCCACCTGGGCGTGCATGAGCCACAGCTTGCGCAGGCTGGTGAGGCCCTGGAAGGAGCCCGGGCGGATCAGGTCCAGCCGGTTGCCCGACAGCTCCAGCTCCTCCAGGCGCACCAGGGCCGTCAGGTTGGGGATGTCCTTGAGGTTGCACATGCCCAGGTTGAGGTAGCGCAGGTTGACCAGGCCCTCGAAGGCCGCCTCCGAGATGTACTCCAGCCGCTTGAGCTCGCCCAGGTCCAGGCGCCGCAGGGACGGCACGCGGTTGAAGGCGTACGAGGGGATGCTCTCGATGGGGTTGTTGCGCAGCCAGAGCTCCCGCAGCTTGGACAGGTACTCGAAGGCCTGCGTGGGCACCGTCGTGAGCCGGTTGTCGAACAGCTCCAGTGTGTTGAGGCTGGGCAGCCCGTTGAAGGCGCCCACCTCGATCTTGCGCACCAGGTTCTTGCTCAGCTGCAGGATCTCCAGGTGCCGCAGGTGCTTGAACGTGTCGGTGCGGATCACCTGCGGTGGGGGAGGGGAGACACCGTCAGCGCGGCCCCTGCGGCGGCTAATCACGCCGGAGTCCCTTGCGCCCGGCACACCCCCCACCCCCGGCCCCACGCGAGTGCAGAGCCGCGCCCCGCCCCGCCCCCCGGGGCCTGTAACCCCGAAGACTACCTTGGGAAACCCTTTGTTTCTCCCCGAGGCAGACGCAACACACGTGACGCACGTGGCACCGCTGGGCCCGCCTCTTCTCGCGTGTTTCCCCGGCGGGAGAGGAGGGCCGTAGTCCTTCCCGGGTTTGCGGCGGCCTAACCAGACGCGACCCGAAGGTCTGTCCGCCGCTCAGGGACCCACACGGTCAACCGAGGAGGAAGCAACTGTCCCTACACACGGCCGCTCTTAGCGGCGGGGCGTCCTGTCGAGCAAGAGAAGCCGGACACGAAGGCGCGCCGGCGGTAGGGTCGTGTCCGTTCCGCGTCCGACCTGTGCTAAGCGGTCGTCTTTGAGTGTGGCGGGGTCAGGGGTGGAGGCCAGGCTGGCAAAGGGCACGAGGGAACCTTCTGGGGTGATGGAAAGGTTTTCAGCTGGGGTGGTGGCTGTCTGGATGAATAAGACTGCCAAAGCTCCCCAAACTGTACGGAAAACAGGGGCATTTTGTTATATGTAAATTACACCTCAGGAAAAAAAAGATGAAAAATACTCACACCAACAGCTAACAGGTACTGAGTCCCTCTTGGGCACCAGACACCATTCTAAATGCCTTATGGGCAACAACTCATTTAATCCGCCAAACTGTCCTACGAGGTAGGTACTTACTCAATATCTGGAACTATGAAATCCACAAAGCTCCAAAAACCAGAAGATTTTCCCTGACTTTGGCACCAAATGCCATACGGTGGTACAGCCTGATCAGAACTCACGTGGAGCTAATTTAGAGCTTTTTATTGAGCCCACTCATGTGACTGTTCAAACACTTTACTCTGGAAATAGTCCCACACTTGCTAAGAGGTAGAGGTGGGGGAGGAGTATAAAATATGTGCTGGACGTTAGGGCCTCACCTTTTACCAGCGGATGTCAGAACATCTGGCCTCAAGGGTTTCACAGGAGGGATTATGACTTATCTCCGTCTTAGCGGGAGGCAGAGAGAGGTGCAGTGACTCGCCCAAGGTCACAGAGAAGGAGATGACAGACTTGCGATCCGGCTGAGGTCATCTCGGGTTGACCATAGTCTGAGGGGACTCCAGAGTCCCCGTTCTTAACCCCTGAGCTTGGCTGCAGCCTTTCCAGGTAGGGCCCGAGGGGCCACAGGAGGGGCGGTGCTGGGCTGGGCATGGCAGGCAGAATCTTACCAGATTCTCCTTAGTAGTCCCAGTGCGGGGCACACTGAGGTGTGACCGACCATGTAGCCATCAGATGGCTTTTCTGAAGGCTAGTTAATGCCCTGGGGAATGCTTGCGTTATAATAGTTGGGGGGGGGGGGAATAGAAAACTCCAGAGAGCATACTATGTGGATTTTATTTTCTTTAAAGTTTGAATTTTTACATAATCCCTACACCCAGTGTGGGGCTCGAACTCACAACCTTGAGATCAAGAGTTGCGTGCTCCACTGACTGAGCCAGCCAGGCACCTGTGACTTTGTAGAATTTTAAAAAGAAGCTGAGGAATTAGGTGTACTCCTATACACACCAAAAAAAGACCGTAAGTACGTACTCCAGGCTCTTCTTGGCAGTGAAGTCCAGCTGTTGGGGATTATGGGCAACTTTTTATTTACTTTTTTTTTTTAAGATTTTATTTATTTATTTGACAGAGATCACAAATAGGCAGAGAGGCAGGCAGAGAGAGGGGGGAAGCAGGCTCCCCACTGAGCAGGGAGCCTGATGCGGGGCTCGATCCCAGGACCCTAAGATCATGACCTGAGCCGAAGGCAGAGGCTTAACCCACTGAGCAACCCAGGTAACCCTTATTTCTTTAATGAACCCAAATTACTTTTATCCTAGGTAGAAAAGCATTTTTAAAAACTTTTTTTAGGGGCAACAGGGTGGTTCAGTGGCTAAGTGTCTGACTCTTGATCTTAGCTCAGGTTTTGATCTCAGGGTCGTGAATTCAAGTCCTGCATTGGGCTCCATGCTGGGCACGGAGCCTACTTAAAAAAAGACAAATAAGTAAAAATTTATTTTTTTATTTAATTGACAGAGATCACAGGTAGGCAGAGAGGCAGGCAGAGAAAGAGGAAGGGAAGCAGGCTCCCTGCTGAGCAGAGAGCCCGATGCGGGGCTCGATCCCAGGACCTATAGGACTGTTAGTGCCTGTTTCTGAAAGGCAGGAATGGAGGCCCACGGAGGTGGCCAGTGGCTGGGACATCATATGCGCTGTGAAGACAGAGCCCAGTTCTCGTCCCATTCCCCTCTCTCCTGGCTATGGGGCCTGCTGGTTGGACTCTCTGGGCCTCCCATCCAGGGCTGGCTGTGAAGGGAGAATGAGAGCCACTTTGGAGGCCACAGTGTGATCACTAGAGAGTGTGCGGGGGGGGGGGGGCTTGTTGTTGGTGTTCAGTAACGTGTGTGCCATTGGGACAGAGCCTGGGGAGGGCGACTCTTGGGGCAGAGAACCCCTTACTGCACCATCTAACTAAAAATCAGAGACGTGAGCCTGACACGCTGGGGCCCAGCAGTCCCCCGCGGCCCCTCTGCTCACGACTCCTTGTCCCATCCCTTCCTCTCCATCCCATGGCCCAGCCCCACCTCAGCCGCCTCCTCTCCCACCTGGACATCCGGCCCCAGACTCCTATTTATGCCCACACCCCCAGTGCCTCCAGGAACCCCATTATTCCCAGCGCAGGTTTCTCCCACTCCACACTGATGACCAGGAATGACTCCGACAGTGCCATCCCATAATAAGACACAGTCTCCGCCCTCCAGTGGCATCGATGGGCTTGGCACAATCTCCCCTTCCTCTTCCAGCGTCACCCCCTCTGCCCTTTCCTGCTCTCGGCAGGTCCCAGAACACAGCCTCTGGGACTCTGCACTTGCTGTTCCCTCTGCCAGGAAGACCTTCTGCACTTTCTGGCCTCCTGCCATCTGTCCTTCGACACCCAGCTCCCATACTGTCACCCCCCAGCTGTCTGTGCCCTTATCATCAGAGTCCAGGCCCCCTCCAGGGCTCAGAATGCTGCCCTGGGGCCATTCCCTCCATGGAAACCAGATTCCTGAGGAGAACAGCCCTGGACAACTGGCCTGAGGAAGGAGTCATTGTGGGCTCAGGGTGAAAGGGAGAAATGAGATACTTTTGGGCTGTTACAACTCTGTGATTCTCAGATCATGTGAATGGTTTCCAGGAACAGTGGGATGGAGTTTGGGGGAAACACCCGGCTCAGAGTAGGGACCCAGAAGGGACATCAGCTCAAATCTCCTGCAGGCGGGGCCTCAGTGGACATTAGAATAACAAAGCAGATTTCCATATGCCCCCCTCCCCCGCCAATGATAAAAGTAATATATACTGGGGCACCTGGCTGGCTCAGTGGGTTAAAGGCTCTGCCTGCTTCCTCCTCTCTCTCTACCTGCTTCTCTGCCTACTTGTGATCTCTGTCAAATAAATAAATAAAATCTTAAAAAAAAGGTAATATATATTAGTTTCAGGAAAAAGTCTTAAAAGGAAAAGAAAAATGAGCCAAAGTACCTCTATTTATATTAACTTACATTAACAATTTGGTATACATCCTTCTAATCTTTTTTCCCTGCATATAATGCAGGGATATAGCTCTTTTTCACCTTTTTTTATATTTCACAAAATTTTGGTGACATGATATTTCCTCCTTGGCCCTGAATTTCCCTTAGTAGTAGTATTACAGTGTAGGGGCGACTGGCTGGCTCAGTCAGTAGAGTGTCTGACTCTTTGATCTTGGGGTCGTGAGTTCGAGCCCCATGTTGGGAGTAGAGATTACTTAAATAAAAATGAAACTTAAAAAAATAGTATTACACTGTATTTTCCCTTTTCGTGATACATGCTTCAGAAACAAATTTCATGGCTATCTAGAATTATTTACCAGGGTGATACCTCCTTTGGGACATTGGGATGGAATTGCCAGGGTCAATTACTTATTTTCCTTAATACGCTTCTGCCTTCTCTAATTTCCTGCAGTGAACATGGCTAACTTTTAGAGTGGGACGAAACCCCAGTAAATGCTATCAGATGTAGGAATCTGGTCTAAAGCTCTCTGGTGGCACCTGCAGGATCTGGGATGGAGGTGGGGGGATCCAGGGGAAGGAGCAGAACACGCTGGCAGGATGGCCTCGAGGAGGGCTGGCCTGGGGTCTCTCCAGGCGACAGGGTGTGTACCCAAGACTGGGGCCGCAGCCCCAGGACCCTGAGAGGCCCTGGGACCTGGCTCCTGTGGTCCCGTGTGTGGCTACAGCCTCGGTTCCCTCCTAGGAGGAGCACCGGGGAGACCGGGCTAATCCCATGAGGTGATATCCGACAGCAGCAACAAAAAGCTTCCCTGATCAAACACGTCTGGAGCCGCACAGTCCCTCCTGGAGGCGCCACTGCTGTGAGCGGAAAGTCCGAGAAGTCCTGTGGGGAAGGACGGTTCCACTTTGCTCCACTCTGGGTTTCCCAAACATCACAGGCACAGAACCCTCCTCGCAGGGTGCCTTTTATCATTGCCCTGGGAAACGCTGACGCGGCACAAAGCAGGCCCTCACTCGCCCGCAGGTTCTATTAAAATAATAGTGACGACGACTGCGGCAGCAGGAGGAGGATCCCGTCATCGCTAATCACCAGGGGGGCGGGGGGGGGGGAATGCGGTGGGCTCTTAAAAGGTTAGACTTGAGAGTTTGGACCTAGAAATCCAGAACAAAAGGGCCGCTGGTCCAGGGGCCAGAGACAACTCGCCCTCACCTAGTCTCCATGGCACTTAGCTCTGGGGCCTCCCCAGGTCCCCGGGAACCCATTTGCAAGCTGAGCAGGAAAGCGTTGTGTGCCCGTCTGGCTCCTCCCTCCTTCCAGGGTCCCTGTTCACA